TTAGAGCTACTGTGGTGTAAGTGATATTCAAATAGACCTGAATTGAGGTGACTTTAGTACAAAGCTTATTATATTATGAATTCAGTAAATTACATGATTAGCTGTGTTTTAATGGCATATGAATACAACCAGTGTGTACAGCCTTGTACTCAATTGCATGATCTGTCAAAATAAACCATAAATGAGTGAATTAACAGTTGGATTGTGTTATAATATGTCATAAACTATTATATCATATCAAACTATCAATGATAGAATATAAATATAACGAATTAATAATTTATAAACTATATATAGAATTTAATATATTAATATAGTTGACTTAATTTGAAATATGAATTTGAAAAATGTCTTACCTATTCATTTTAGATAACCTTTTGTGACCTATTAATGCACTCGACTTAAGGGTCTTAAGAATGAAAAATAAGATATTTATTAGTTATTTATTTATATACAATTTTTTACATCTTAATTATTAAAATTCATTTTTGAATGAAAAATTATTCAAAATATAATATATTTTATTAATACCGCATTTTTAATTAAATTATTCATACATTTTATTCGAGTTATTGACAGAAACTTAATTATAGTTCAATATTCCGAAAAAATACTTAACTAAAAGTCATTTATATTTTGGTCACAAAAATATGTTAAATATTTAATCTCATATTAATTTTTGATTATATTTTTTCTATTTATAGGACTTTCGGCGGTGTTTTCGATAATCATTAATTCACTCATCGTTTTGTTGTGCGCTTTTGGGATCATATCATTAATAAGAGACAACTTTTTACTAATAATCATATTCGGCATCACAAACACAATCGTGTTGTTAATCAGTTTGTTTTCAGAGAATACAAAAGTGGCGATCGTTTTGTTACAAATCGCTGTCTCGTTGTTTGCCTTTTCGTATACTTTGAGTATTTATTTACGAATGAAAATCGAGTTAAAAAACATGAAGAAGAAGAAGAAGCTGACGAAGAAAACGATCGACAAAAATGTCAACGAAAGTCACTTCAAGAATGAGATCCAATTAAATGGCAATCAGAATCATAAAGACAATCATAATAATAATCCAGATTTTCATTTAAATGATTTACAAGAACTCAAAGGTGTTATCGTATAAACACTTTTAATCAGATTAACTGTACATTTCATTACAATAATATTGGATATTACCTAAAAATAACATTATTTTGATTCATTGTAAAATACAGTTTTCATGTAATAATGTAGTTTTCTAATATAACATCATTTTTATTAATGTAAAACTAAATAATAATGATTGAAATTAATTTTGCACTAAATATAAACAATATTTGATAGAAAATGATAATGATATACGTGTGGATATACCACACGTACTCGCAAATAAATTTATGTAAAGAATAATATTCTGTAAAATAAAAATAAAATATAATATATTTATTATATAATTAACCAAAAATCATTGAAAACGATTCTCAATTATAATGTGTACAAATTTTACTATAATAAAAATATATTTAATTTAAAAAATATATCATGTTAGCTCAACTATATTTAATTTGTTAATTTTTAGATAATGTCAACTCAAATAATTTCCCAAAACCTAAGGGAATATCCTGAGGGGATTGGGGTTTACGGACAGCCCTATCACCGCTTTCTTATATTTATAATTTTTTTAATTATTAAATATTAATTAAAATCTTTAATTTGATTGAATTGTGGGAATTGATTTTGGTATTAGGTACTCAATGTGTAGTCAATCGAGCAATTTTTGTGTGAAAGTTTGTTTATTAAATCTTGCAATAAATTTTTGATAGATGTTGTTAATAAATAATAAGTCAAATATGAGATATAATTCGGGGAAAATGACTGGCAAGGACAATCTATTTTATAAACGTCCGGGTCATTCAAACATTTGTTTTATCATTCATTTATTTAACCCCGAAAACTATAAGTTTTTAAGCATCCTTTATATTTGAACATGACAAATTAATTTATTCAAATATACTTTCAAAATTCTCAAATTGAACACACATTACAATATATTCTATATTTTATCAAATTTATAAATCCATTAATCATAGAATTAAATTAAATTTGCATTTATTGTAGCAATGATTGATATATTTTGTTCAAATGTCTAGCAATACGTCTGGAGACGAGTTGTTATTATTTACAAACATTATCAAATTTATAAATCCATTAATCATAGAATTAAATTAAATTTGCATTTATTGTAGCAATGATTGATATATTTTGTTCAAATGTCTAGCAATACGTCTGGAGACGAGTTGTTATTATTTCCAAACATTTAACTTTTAAAAATAGTCATCTGGATTATCATAATTTAGGTTTTTAATACAATTTTTATGGTAATAAATAAACATCCAAAACTAAATCGCTTGACCAATAAATTTAAATTGTATTAAAAATTAAGCAAATCAATCAGAATTAAATTTCATGCATAGATTAATCTTATTATTAGGATTTTACTACTGAATGAATGTAAACAAACTTTAAATTTATAAATTACTTGAATTCAAATGAAGATTTTTGATCCCAAAATAATACAATCCTTACCACAATTATCTTACATTTCATCAAATTAAATAATATTATAACACACACACAGGGTCATATAAATTATAACAAAGTATCTCTCTCTCTCTCTCTCTCTCTCTCTCTCTCTAAAACACACATTCACTAGTTAATTTTATAAGAAATGGTTAATTTATTAAAAATAACAAAAAACATTGAAATAATACTTTTGGGAAAAGGTTTAATATATTATAAGTGTGAAAATGAATTCAAGACATTGAATCATATAGATATACAATTAATATCTTAAGGAATTTAATAGCAAATACAAATGTGACCTCATTTTTGCTTTCTAAATACATTTTCATCAAAATTTATTTCTAACTGTTAAGATCAAAATTGCATAACTTATTAGCAAATAATAGTTTTGATCAAACATGAGTACATTTTACTTCAGATAAATTTATAATAAATAATGAATTTAAAATTATACAATAATTTACTATATTAAATTACTAATTAATGGTAATAAATATACAGTACCAACAAAACCAAAATATAAACATTAAAATTTATTAAATTTTTATACAAAAACTAGAATAGAAAATCAATTATTTAATAACATTGTTAATTTAACAATAAAATTATTTTAAAGTAATCGTAAGCAATTAATTTAATTTCTTTATAATTTTATAATATTTGTTAATTGGTTTATTCATGTAATCCATTATGAATTTATACAAATTATTGTACATAACAAATTTAATGACAAATAATGATTATAAACAAACATGGTAATAATGGGCAAAATATTTACACATAATTGAACGCCTAATTTACTGAACCCTAAAACTAAAAGTCAATTTCTGCCAACACATGGGCCGTCCGATGGAGTCGTTGCAGCCGTGCGGACAGTCCTGGACCTGTAGGGGCTCTACACCCACTTCATCGCATTGATAGATGATATTAGGCTTACACTGATTCAATTGATCGCCACAATGTCGACCAGTTTTCGTGCACCAACAGCCCTCACACACTTGCACTACGAGTGCCGTCACCACAATCAACACAATTAGACAACTATTGAAGTTTTGCGATGAATTCATCACTCGTTTTGGTTTGGATTCCCTTTCTTTCTCTCAATTGGTTTCAAAGAAATTATTTCTAAATTTAAGAACTCGTATACGATTTGTGAGTTTATATAAGAGAGTGAAAGTGTTATAAAAGTAGATATTCTTGACATAAATAACAGAGAATTTTATTTTTTAGATTTTGGGACAAATCTCCACTCATTTTCTCAAACATTTATAAAAGTGTTCAAAACTTTTGTTGTTTATCTCTCTGGGGCTTAAAGTTTGCAAAGAATTCTATAAATTGTTTGTTTGCTTGATAACAATCAGCAATCAGTACTCAATTAACTTAAAAGGCACTGAAATTTCTTATATTTTCAATATTTCTATAAATTATTTATTAATTACTTTAGAAACACACGTTTTCTACTGAATACGATAATATTGAGTTGAAATAATGTTTTTCAAATCAACATTTATTATGTATTCAATTTACTGTAATTATAGTAAAATTATGATTAAGTGAAGGATTAAATTTCGTAAGGATTTAAATATTTTCTAAATAAATCTCATTAATAGACACAAACGTAAAGATTTAAAAATATGGATAAAATTTATTATTTATTCTGACAATCAATTGATAGATAAAAAATCATTGCAATTCAATCAAACTATTCATTACTTCACAATCTCATACTTTATAAGGATATACAGTATAAAAGTACAGTATTTACAACATTTTCGCCTAAAATATTCACAAAAAGAGTTATTTTAAAATAATATCTGCATTTCGATTCAGACAACATAAAAAGTCATGATATTTTCAAATTATGATTTCACAATAAAAAATATAAATTGTAATTAATATAAACATTACGGACGATAGGCTACAAACATGGGACTGTATAGTGTATAAGTAAACTAAAGACAGTAAACGTATCATTAATGCCAACCATAGCCTTGAATGCGAGTGAATGTGTTTGTCGTACAGAATAATTCATTTGAAACCAGTTGTTACGTAAGTTTGTTGTGTTAGTAAACCACTTGTGTGTTGGACGGGACGGTGGTGTTGGCCATGAAATGCTATCTCTAATGGTTTTTGGTGTCACCGCTTCTCTATCTGCCTGTCGTTTTCAGCTTATTTTGTCTCTCATTTAAAACCAGATTCACAGACCTTTTCTGAGATTTTCTGTGCGTTCAGTGTTTGAAAACTTTGTAATAAAAGTTTTCAAATAATAAAAGTTTTCAAATAATCAAAGTTTTCAAATAAACATTTAATAATAGTTAATATATAATAAAAACTTTTATGTTTGCATTTATTTCATGATTTTAAGTTTAATTAAAATTTTATTTTTGTTTTTAATTAATTAAAGTAAAAGTTATCGGACGAAGTGATCCCAAATGAAGTCGTCGAACAATTTCATTGCATTTCTGTTGATATTTTACTACTGGATCCGAGGAATGCTATTATTCTTTGTCCCAAAAAGTTTACGCTTTAAGTCAGTGAAGGATCGGTTGGTTTTGATCACTGGTGGCGGCAGTGGTTTAGGCCGAGCGCTGGCCATCCGTTTCGCCAAACGCGGCGCTCATGTAGTCGTTTGGGACGTCAATAAGAGTGGGTTGGAGGAGACGGTAGAGCTGGTGAAAGGGGCCAACCCTGATGTCAAAGTCAAGTCATACGTCTGTGATATAACGGACAGACATCTGGTGTACGAGACGGCGGCCAAAGTGAAGCGAGACGTCAGTGCAGTCGATATACTGGTGAACAACGCGGGTGTCGTCAACGGCAAGAATCTGATGGACATTCCGGACGAGAAGATTGTGCAGACATTCCAAGTGAACGCAATCAGCCATTTCTGGACAGTGAAGGCTGTGCTGCCGGATATGATGGCCCGAGACAGCGGTCACATCGTGTCGATCGCATCGGTGGCCGGATCTACCGGTTCGTGTCAGCTCACGGACTACTGCGCCTCCAAGTTCGCGGCCGTCGGCTTTGAGGAGTCTCTTCGGTTTGAACTCTTAAATGCCAACCTCTTGGGCGTCAAATCGACAGTCGTTTTGCCCTATTTTATAAACACAGGAATGTTTGCCGGCTTTAAGTCGCCGATTCTGCCGGCGCTCGAGCCCGACTACGTGGCCGACCAGATAATGGCCGGCATTCTGACCGACGCCGAGCACGTGGCCGTCCCTCGCATTTGCTATACTCTCAACACATTGAAGACTATTTTGCCGACAAAAGCCTTTTACAAGTTGTATGAAGTGTTGGGCGGATACGAAGTGATGGAGGACTTTGTCGGTAGGGATGGCGCTAAACATAACAACAATTACATCAATAATAATAACCGAAAAGTTAAATGAGTTTTGTTTGTAGAAAAAAGTGTCTTTTGCTGTCATTTATAATTATTTTGAAACAATTTTTCAGTACATTTGTGCGAATTTGCAGTAATTTTGATATTATTTTTCTTTAATTATTGAATATTTTTTAAATATCGTATAATTGTCACGAAAATACTCTGTATTTATTATTTTTTATCTTTTAATAAAGTTTTGAAAATATATTTAAATTTCCAGTAATTTTGATATTATTTTTCTTTAATTATTGAATATTTTTTAAATATCGTATAATTGTCACGAAAATACTCTGTATTTATTATTTTTTATCTTTTAATAAAGTTTTGAAAATATATTTTATATCTATTCATGGTTTCTATGAATCATTGCATTGTATCGATTAAAATAAATATTATCATCAGAATTAATATAAATAATAATTACTGTCACATAAAAAAGATATTAAAAATTCATAGCATTTTGCAATCAATCTTTACAGTAATAAATAAAATTCAAAAATTATATTTTGTATTTAGTTATGAAATGATCACATTATGCAATATTAGTTAATTAAATGATTTATTTAAAAATTGAGTGTGAAATTAATGATTTTAAAATGATCTCAAACCTAATTTAAAGTGAAAATTGAACCTGAAATTAAATTAAATGACCACAAAATTGATATTTTAAACATAAATAAAATAAAATACTGTAAATAGGTATAAAATGAACATAAATATAAAAATTAACTGACTGAATCCTATTTCATTTAAATTTAACTAGATGGTTGAATACAGTATATTTTACTTACAGTAATCTCAACATATACTACTGTATAAATATGTTTGTAATTGAAATCAATATAGTCAGCCTAGAGTGTATCAAAAATATTTACAATGATTGTTAATGATATCAGTATTGATTCGAAGGTTTTCTAAAATAAATTCAACGCCTTTGAGGCAAACATAACATAAAATTGAATTTATTTGAAAACTGATAGAAAGTTCAAAACCCAAATTTTAAATGATGGACTATGATTTGAAATATATAAGAATATGTGAAACATATTTATTTTTAATCTAGAAAACCTTGAATTCTATCAATTCTCTATCATTTCTTTGTTTCAATAGCTTATACAATACAGTTTATACAGTAATAGTATAATTAAGTAAGACTTTAATATTCACTAAATATCTATACCCCAAATAACTTAAAATATATTTTTTAAATCACAAAAATTATACACGTTTATATTTTTGTCAACCAAGGTAATTTTGTCACCAGTAATTTCAATCACTTGTCTAATTTAGTTTTTTTAATCAAAGCAGGGTTGATTTAACTTTTAATTTGATCAGTTGGTAAGGAATTACAAAATAAATATAGAAATTATGAATATATAATCAATTTATTAGTAAAATAAATAGATAAAATAATTTTTAGACAATTTAATGAATCCGTAAATAAGATGTGTTTTAAATATTACTTCAACGATAGGTTTGCATTGATTTGTCTCATGAGGACATCGATGGATCTGATCTCATCTTTGAGTTTGTCATCCAATTCCGACACTTCATCAGACGGTTCTTGCATTTCTTCGTCTGAGTTCTGAACAGAAGTCGACTTTTTCTGAAAATCGACTGAATTTTCAAACGACACGTAACTCGAGGTCAGGTCTTCAGGGGTGTCGTGAAACCTATCGTTCATATTGTCTTTGGTTCGGAGGTCTTCCAAAAAGATTCTTCTGTCCTCCATTTCGTCACCAGTTATTTGTCTATCGCTGGGATTCCTCTTATTTTGGAATAAATTCCTGAATCGACTGAAACCCCCAAATGGTTTCTTAGACTTTTTACTTTTTTGGCCATCAAATGGTGAATCAGAATCACTGCCTATTGTCTCGTCCAACGAATCAATTTTTTTGTTCAAATTCTTGTATTCCTTTGCAATCATTAGCTTTTGTGGTTTATTTGATGACATTGTGTACAATTGATTTGTAATTATAATGTATTATAGAAAACTGGAAACTTATAATTATTCACAAAAACTGTTATTTTATAACTAAAAATTAAAACCTAAACAAATGTCACGAGAATTAAACACTAGATTTATATGGTTTTTTGAAAAGATTATCTATTTTTGGTAAATCTTAGGGTGTATTTGGGCCCAAATGATTTAATAGAGAGCAAAACATAATATTGTAAACATTTTTATCCCGTATAAATAATAATCTCACGGTTTAACTGACAAGTTAGTAGTAAATCTTATTTTAGTACAATATTTTAAAACCTATTACGAGCTAAATTCAATAATCACTAGTTTTTTGTCACTCGATCCGCACTTTCCATATGAATCCAAATAAGTGTCAAACGAGACAACAATGTATAATGAATTCAAATTTTGAATGAAACGTTAGTAATTAAAAATTTAAACACAAAAAGCAGTCAAATCACTGAATATATAGAAGTGATAGGATTAGTGAGAATCCAAAGAATACAAGCTCTCCGGCAAACAGTTGATCCATATTTACACATGAGAAATGAATAGATTTAATAATATTCCACACACTAACCCTGTTCAGTTCACT